TTGCTTACTATCTGTAAAATTAATCATCTCTATTTATATTGGTCAGTACAATAAATGACCATGCAGTGGGTGAAAAATGATTAACTGAAACCGAGCGCTCATATTCGACGTGCACTTTCACCAAAATTTTAGTAACTAACTACATTCATTTCCGATAGCGTTTCCCAAGACAATTTATATATTTTTGGTTTGTGCCAATAGATACAATTTTTCACATCCAGATAATGTTGCACATATATCAATACAAGCTGTTACAATAACATCGTAAGTGCCAAATGCCAATTTTTCAGGCTAGCAATTTCACACATGAACCCATCAACTATACTAAGTGACATATAAATACGAACACCCAGTTTAAATGGTTTTATTTTAATAAAATTTTGTATAAGTACTTAATGAAGCATAGTAAGTAAATGATAAAAATTTCAAAATGATTGCACTGCTTTAAAGCCCTTTGACCTTTAATAATGTGTGGATGCACCCTGATGTGCTACGCATTCTCCAACGCGCCTAGGCATGCTTCTGATCAGGTGGTCAATGTCCTCCTGTGGTATCTCATTCCAGGCAACCACCAACTCCTCTCGAAGTGCTTCTAGAGTCTAAGGAGGACGTTGCAAATTGAGCAATCTCCTACCCATCATATCCCACACGTACTCAATTGGGGATAAGTCGGGAGATCTTGGTGGCCATGGTAACAATGTGACATCATTATGTTGAAAGAAGTCTATCGTGACTCTTGCAACATGTGGTCGGGCATTATCTTGTTGGAAAGTTGGATCTGCCAGTTTGTCTAGATAGGGTAAAAGATGGGGTTCTAGAACTTGGTGGATATAACGCTGCGCGTTCATGTTACCTCTTTGTTTTTTTTTTATATCGAAACAGCCGCGCAGGCAGAAGCCTAAATGCCGGAACACCGCGGCTGCTATGATGATCCCAAAGAAATTTTGTTAATACGATTTTTGAACTGCCTAAGGCTAGTAGAACTGGGAAAAGCTTCCTCCCGCGCGGCGGCATCATGGAAGAGAGCTCTGAGGAGCAAAGCCCGTTGGTGTAGCGATAGAAAAGAGCTAGATCGCCGACGGCCCGCCGGTGCGAAAGAGTTCCGAGACTGTCTGTTAGAGAAGAGTCATCGATCAGTCGGACCGCCCTCCTCTGGACAGCATCGAGCATGGACAATGTAGTCGGGGCGGCAGCACCCCAAATGTGTGAGCAATACTCGAGGCTAGGCCTTATCTGGGCCTTGTATAGAGTGAGAAGGTCATGCGGAGAAAAGTGCTTCTTAGCCCTAAACAAATAGCCTAGCTGTTTCCCAGCAGCTGCAGCTATTGAAGAGATGTGTTCGTGCCAGATCAGGTCCTCGGTGATCTGGACTCCGACCAGCCGAAATGAATGGCTCTTTGGTAGAACTCGACCGTCCATCGAAACTGTATGAGCGCTAGGACGCTTTTTGTTCGTCAAGGTACAGTACTGTGTTTTGGAAGCATTGAACCGTACAAGATTGTTGCGTCCCCAAGCAGTGATAGCCTCCAGGTCCCTTGTCAGAGAAGAAGTTGTCGCTAGTCTTCTTTTTTCCAGCTCAGCGGCAGAGATCGGCTTGTCACTCTGAATTCCTGCATGTAGAGTGCTGTCATCAGCGAAGCTGTGGATTGGGTTGATCGTGCAGAAAAGGAGGTCGTTGATATGTAAGAGAAACAGTGTTGGAGCCAGGACCGATCCCTGGGGAACACCCGCGTTGACGTTGTGGGATGAAGAGGAGAATCCGTCAATTACGACGGATATCTTGCGGCCAGAGATAAAGTCAGCCACCCATCTGCAAAGCTTTTCTGGGAGGCCGTAGGATGGAAGTTTGCTTAAGAGGGCAGCGTGCCACAGCTGATCGAACGCTTTCGTGATGTCAAGAGCAACGACATGAGCCTCACCATGAGACTGGATGAGCTTACTCCACAGTTGCGTGGCGTAAGCTAGGAGGTCCCCTGTGGATCGTTGGTGCCGGAAACCGTACTGCCTGTCGCTAATCAAGCTGTGACGTTCGAGGTAGTCCAGAAGCTCGCGATTTATGCACCTCTCCATCACTTTACTTATAACAGAAAGCAGAGCTATAGGCCTGTAGTTGTAAGGGTCGGTTTTAGATCCTTTTTTTGGGATGCGCTGTACATGAGCAAATTTCCAGTTTTCTGGGAAGGTGCCGGATTCATAAGATATCTGGAAGAGACGCGAAAGAACTGGAGCAAGCTCCGCTGCACATCTCTTCAGTACAATGGCAGGAATCAAGTCCGGGCCAGAAGCTTTGTTGATGTCGAGCGACAAGAGCACTCGTCTTACGGTCTTATGCCTGAATGTTACTTCCCGCATAGTGTGGGGAACCCTTTGAATTGACGGCACTTGGGCGTTGGTGGGGACGTCCATGGTGGAGTTGGCAGCAAAGATGTTGGCTAGCACTTCCGCCTTGGCCTTTGAGTCGAATACAATAGTTCCATCCTGACACGTAAGTGGTGGAAGGCTACTGTGTGAGAAGTTCTTTTCAATCTGCTTGGCCAGCGTCCAGAAAGACCGACTGCCATTGCGCTGCGACATTACCCTGTGCCTAACTTTTATATCATGCTGGTTTTTGGCATTGCGAACCGCTTCGTTATATTTGTTTCTGGACTCGACGTCGGCTTGTCTGATCTCTACAGTGGGGTTTTGTAAGTAGGTTCTGTGGGCCTTGATCTTCTGCTGGCGAGCAGTGTCACACGATTTGTTGAACCAGCCGTTGGACCCTGGTTTAGGAACTTTCACTGTGTGAGGGATGTATTCCTCCATTCCGACGTGGATAATTTCAGTTATTGAAGAACAGACAGTCGACGCATCTGCGTCAGTGAAACAGACATCTCTCCAAGGAAAGCTAGAGAAGAAGTCTCTGAGCCCCTCCCAGTCGGCATGTCCGTAATGCCAAGTTTTGCGGCCTGTGCGAGTTTCTGCTGCCACAGCGGCTTCTGACTGAAACCTAACCTCCACAACACCGTGATCTGAATTACCCAGGGGGGACAGGACAGCAGTGCTGTGAGGGGCAGGATGCGTGGTCAGAAAGAGATCTAGCAGGCTACTGGCGTGTGACGAGACGCGGGGGAAAAAAGTAGGGCTCGTCACCAGCTGGGTCAGCCCTTGAGTAAGAGCGAACGCTTCGACTGCACGACCTGCTGCATCGGTCTTATTTGAGCCCAACCAAAGCTCATTATGGGCATTGAAATCACCGAGAAGAACTACCTCTGAAGCGGGGTGATTGATGTTCAGGAAGTCGATCTGGACGGCGAGGTATTCGAGTAGGTCATCCCAGTTATGGTTCGAGGGAGAGCGATAAAGGCAGCAAATAAATTTGGGTGATGTTTTGGAGTTGAGGCGAAGCCACAGAATGTCCTTCCTGTCTGATTCCAAAGAAAGATCCCTGGAGCAGGAAAGACTGCTGCGGACAAAAGCCACAACTCCCCCGTTCTTTCTCAGATTGGAGTGCACCTCGTAGTTTGGGAAGTTGAGATGGTTAATCGGTGCAGTCTCTGAGATTTTTGTCTCCGCCAAGAAAAGCACGGCGGGACGATTGGATTGCAGGTAGTGATGAACAGCATCAATGTTGCTGTTGATCCCGCAGATGTTCGAAAAACAAATTTTATCTTCGATGTTGTTCCCTCGAGCCCACCCTCCACCCGGACATTCCGAGAGTGGAGTGAGTTTACGTCCGGAGTTTTTAGTGCTCGAGGGATCCATCATCATTAGTTTCTTTGTTTTGGTAGATAACCGACTGCATAGCTTAGGTGTGGAAACATGCGGACATTTATAAGACACCCTGAGAAAAGCTAGCGGGTGGTACTGCCTCGGTCGACTGGTCCTTGTCTACCACCTTCTTTTTACGTGTTAGTGATGTTAAATAGACCTAAAGTGGCCCGTTGGCGGACTTGTACCGCCACCCGGCAATCGGTACTGAGGTATTCCTTAACGCGTGCACAATCACTTCGACGGGAAGAAGTTGTATACTGGATACAACAACTTCCGAAACAAGCATTTGCCATGGCCCTCGCTCAGTAGGGGCAGTACAATAAACACCTAGATCTGATGAAGATTAAAGGTGACCTGGAACCATAAGCTATAGCACCCCAAACCATAACTCCAACAGTGTGATGGACATGTCTTTCAACAAAAAACTGTGGATTCCTCCTTTCACCACGTCGCCTTCTAACCCTGGCACGACCATCGTGCATGCCTAAACAAAATCGAGACTCGTCACTAAAGACAATACTGTTCCATTCCTGATCCCAGAGTGACTGTTGTCTGCACCACTCAAGGCGATTACGTCGGTGTTCTCGAGTTAAAGGGAGGACCCAGTGTGGCCGGTATGAAAACAAGCCAAAACTTCTCATTCGTCGGTAAACACTTCGCATGCCAATAGGTCTTCCATGTTCTGCAAACCATTCATTTGCAATGGACCTGGTAGTGGAGAAACGGTCCCTTAAGGCCAATAATGTTAGGCGGCGATCTTCGCGGCCTGTTGTTCTACGGCGGCGTCCAGTGCGCCTTGCTCTTTGCGTACGGCCTTCTCGAAGCCATGCTTGACAACACCTAACCACAGTGTCTACACTTCTTTGCACTCTAACTGCAATTGCCCAAAAAGAAAGTCCAGCTTCCCGAAGTCCCACTATACGGCCCCTATCAAACTCACTAAGTTGACGAAATCGTACAGGTCTCCGTACTCTAGGCATCGTAACCGATCGTAAAGGATGTCAAGAACCAAAATCCGCCAACGTTGATTCTTTACTGCGGCTGAAATATTCATTTTTAGAGCGTTAGTGAATTAAAAAAAAGCAGTATAAAAACCGGAATGTCCAACTGATAAGGCTGAAAATTTTTTCACTTGTTATTTACAGTAAGATAAATACATTCACCAACTTTTATTAAAATAAAACCATTTAAACTGGGTGTTCGGATTTATATGTCACTTAGTATATTTCAACAGTTTTCTTGTTTTCCAGGATACCTAACCAGCTGCAGCTTTGACTACTTAACAGAAAACAAAAAGATAAAAACTTTCATCATAATTTTCTTTGTAGCAGCCTGGGTTGTACCTTTTGTTTTGATATCCTTCAGTTATGGTAACATTTTGAATGTGGTAAGTACTAATTAAATACTTATCTTGTCTACTTTCTTAAACTATAACCAAACGAGTAGAAAGAAGATCAGGTTTAATTATACATACCGAGTGAAACAGCCAAACTGGTTACCGCTATTATTGTGCATATGCACAGAATACTCAAATACCGATCAATATTATTCGGAAACTACATTTTATTGCGTAAAATGTTGATCCTTAAATTCAGCACAGCGGACATTTTTTTATAAACAAAAGAACAATAGACATGAAACCTTCTGTCTCTGCGGTTGAAATCAAGTAGGAAATCATTATAGCTCACAACCTTTTGTATCGAGGGACAGGAACAAGATACTCGATTGAATATCCATACCCTCATTTTTAATCATATCATTTAGTTTCCCAGAAAAGTATAGTATAATTTATTCGCACAATTCGATACACTGTAGAATATCAAAAAAGCAAGAAATATATGAATAAACGAGAGTCCCACAGAAAGGAATACTCTTTGAATAATTCCCTTATACAGGGTGGCCCAACGAAAAGGTCACACTCCTATTTGTGACTCTCCAGGTATTTTTTGGAAATAACGCTCGGACAAGATCTCCTACACTTCTACAAATTTGACGACTTTCTAGAAGAATTATTCGCGAACGATATATTCAGATGAGTGCTTTGCCTGGTGTTGACTCCATGAATTTGGGTATTTAAAATAAAATTATTCTGGTTCGAGAAGGTGTTTATAGCCATCTCGAAAATAAATAATGAGGGTAGGGTCAATATGAGATATAGTTTAAATAAGTCTACACCTGCTATAGATCTTAAAACCTTTTTCTGACTCACGTACTGAGCAGATGATGAGCAGCCGCAAAAGCACAGTCCGTATCTCAACCTGAATCCCTAAGAACTTTACTTGGTGTTCTAATTGTAGGTCTGTATCTTTATTTTTTAGATCTAAGGGACTGGGCTTTTTTGAGCATTGTGGAAGCTCAATGCTGAAGTTTTATCCGAATTGAGATACAGGTGGTGCCTCGAGAACCACTCATCTAAAACAATCAACAAACCATAACACTTACACATAACATTTACATCACAGACGTCAGACTGTAATACAGACGTGTCATCTGAATATAAAGTGAACTTTGCTTCACCAAAAATTTATCTATATCATTGATATAGCTGCTTGATAAAATTGGTCCTAAAATGAATCCTTGTGGAACACCCACGTTGACAGTTGAGGATTTAACTTGCACAACTGTATTATTTTGTTTTTGTGCCATGGACACATATTGCTTCCAACCCCCGAGAAACGACTCTAACCAACTCTGATTCAGATACTCCAATCTGGCTGAGTTTATTGAGCAAAATGTTGTGACCGACACAGTCAGACGCCCTGCTGAGATCGCAAAATTTCCCAACAGGGCATTCACCTGCCTCGACAGTTACAAATCATTGCTTACAAAAAGAGTGAATTGTAGTTATTATTGATTTGCCACACCTAAAGCCATGCTGATTCTCGGAGAGAATACATTTTTTGTCCAAGAATACTTCCAGCATGTTCAGAATGCAGTACTCGAACATTTTCGAGAAGCAACACGGTACAGTAATTGGTCTAGGTACTCGTATAGTTAGCAGTGGTTGAAGGATCGCCTTTTCTACTCAGGGTGTCTGCGAAAAGCTGGGAAATCTCGAAACTGGAGATACTACAGACCAAAATATGTGAATTGACCTAAGCATACCTTAGTCCAGAAGCTGATAGTTTGCGAGATACAGTTACAATTTGATTTCCTATTTTTCCTTATTTCTTGAGAAGTGTTTGAGATTTTGGCATAAAACTTGGTATAGGGAGGTTTTCTGGTATGAGAAACAAGAATCCGTTGTTTTTTATGGCCAAACTTCTAGAGGGCGCCACTTACAGCACTATTTCGGTAAATAACTCATCATAACTTTTGTGTGCTACCCTGTATACAACAACTGACCGAAAAATCTTATTTTCTCGTATTTCCACAATAAAAAAGGTTCACTTGTTAGCAGTATCTAAAGCTGATAGTTTTCGAGATATTTGTTTTTAAAGCATTACATCTTGGCAATCCGTACATTAAATACGTATCAGAATATTCATCAAACGTATATACCATGATGTTTAACAATTTATTGTCAGCTTAAAATTATTCATGAAGTTTAAAGCAATATTATGACAAAAATTAGAAACGCTACTGAGATGTTATTCAAAGCAACTTGATCATTATGTTATAAAAATGTTTGATCATCATGGTACAAATAATGCATTGGAACTTCTAAAAACAAATATCTCGAAAACTACTAGCTTTAGATACTTCTAACAAGTAAACCTTTTTTGTTGTGGAAACACGAGAAAATAAGAATTTTTGGTCAGCTGTTGTATGCAGGGTAGCACAAAAAAGTTATGATGAGTTACTTACCGCAATAGTGCTTGTAAGTGGCGCCCTCTAGAAGTTTGGCCATAGAAAATAACGGATTCTTGTTTCTGATACTAGAAAGCCTCCCTATACCGAGTTTTATGCCAGAGTTCTCAAGCATTAAGGCAAAATAGAAAATAAAATTGTAACTTTGACACCCTGTATCTCGCAAACTATCAACTTTTGGACTAATTATGTTTAGGTCAATTCACATATTTTGGTCTGTACTCCAGTTTCGAGATTTCCCAACCTTTCGCAGACTTCCTGTACACTGGAGTGACTTTACCAGTTTTCAGTATTTCAGGGAATTTCCCACTACAAAAGGAGATATTTGCTAGGAACACTAGAGGCTTAAGTACATATTTTAATGCTCTCTTTACTAGGAAATTTGACAAGTCATCTGCACCAAAAGAAGGCTTGTTTTTAAGTTTTTTGTTGATTAGTTCCAAAAATTCTCACAGAAAGGATATAATAATATCTTACCTTTTGTATGTTGGGACTCATTTTCACACTGTTTATAGCTGTAGCTATGTTATGCTTTTTTGACTATTTCTGTAGGAAAATCTCTGAAATACTTATGTACCACATTTCCCGAGGTTGTACTGTAACATTATCTATACGTAGACTGTTACGTGTGGCGTTATGCTTCGTCAATCGGGAACCTACGTTCCAAGTAGTTTTTGTAGGATTATTATAGTTTAATATTTTATTTTGAAGATATTCCCTTAAGTACTTAATACAGCATAATAAGTAAATGATAAAAATTTCAAAATGATTGCATTGCTTTAAAGCCCTTTGACCTCTAATAATGTGTGGATGCACCCTGATGTGCTACGCATTCTCCAACGCGCCTAGGCATGCTTCTGATCAGGTGGTCAATGTCCTCCTGTGGTATCTCATTCCAGGCAACCACCAACTCCTCTCGAAGTGCTTCTAGAGTCTGAGGAGGACGTTGCAAATTTAGCAATCTCCTACCCATCATATCCCACACGTGCTCAATTGGGGATAAGTCGGGAGATCTTGGTGGCCATGGTAACAATGTGACATCATTATGTTGAAAGAAGTCTACTGTGACTCTTGCAACATGTGGTCGGGCATTATCTTGTTGGAAAGTTGGATCTGCCAGGGTGTCAAGATACGGAAAAGATGGGGTTCTAGAACTTCGTGGATATAACGCTGCGCGTTCATGTAACCTCTGATGAAGATTAAAGGTGACCTGGAACCATAAGCTATAGCACCCCAAACCATAACTCCAACAGTGTGATGAACATGTCTTTCAACAAAAAACTGTGGATTCCTCCTTTCACCACGTCGCCTTCTAACCCTGGCACGACCATCGTGCATGCCTAAACAAAATCGAGACTCGTCACTAAAGACAATACTGTTCCATTCCTGATCCCAGAGTGACCGTTGTCTGCACCACTCAAGGCGATTACGTCGGTGTTCTCGAGTTAAAGGGAGAACCCAGTGTGGCCGGTATGAAAACAAGCCAAAACTTCTCATTCGTCGGAAAACACTTCGCATGCCAATAGGTTCTGCAAATCATTCATTTGCAATGGACCTGGTAGTGGAGAAACGGTCCCTTAAGGCCAATAATCTTAGGCGGCGATCTTTACGGTCTGTTGTTCTACGGCGGCGTCCAGTGCCCCTTGCTCTTTGCGTACGGCCTTCTCGAAGCCATGCCTGACAACACCTAACCACAGTGTCTACACTTCTTTGCACTCTAACTGCGATTGCCCGAAAAGAAAGTCCAGCTTCCCGAAGTCCCACTATACGGCCCCTATCAAACTCACTAAGTTGACGAAATCGTACAGGTCTCCGTACTCTAGGCATCGTAACCGATCGTAAAGGATGTCAAGAACCAAAATCCGCCAACGTTGATTCTTTACTGCGGCTGAAATATTCATTTTTAGAGCGTTAGTGAATTAAAAAAAAGCAGTATAAAAACCGGAATGTCCAACTGATAAGGCTGAACATTTTTTCCCTTGTTATTTACAGTAAGACAAATACATTCACCAACTTTTATTAACATAAAACCATTTAAACTGGGTGTTCGGATTTATATGTCACTTAGTATATCTAGGAACAGCCTCGGAAGAAAAGGTCTCTCAGTTTTTGGCTGAAAAAAAAAGCTTACCTATTGGTTGTTTTGTTCAGGATAAGGAAAACTAATTTCAAAATGAAATATAAATACTTCATAGAAGTAGTTGAATTTGGGTCTGGAAAGGTATACAGCATCGACCAGTTATGGTTATGTTGATGTTTTTCAAAAATATTGCCCGCAGTATCCGATCTGCTGTCGATTCTAAACATTTCAAATTCACAAACTACCGTTCTATGGTCAGAAACATTATTATCAATAGAGCAATTACAGCAAGTATCATAAACACTTACAAAAATTTGATCCATCGTAGACAATGAGGTGCTTCCAACTATCGTAGGCCACCGAACTTTAGGTGTTAAATTCAATTGAATTAGCATATCTGTGAATCTTTTGACCTCACTATTGTTACGAGGGATGTCTTTTAAGTTTTGCATATGGAAATCAAACAACACGGTAGGTAGTTTTAAATGACTTTATTG